AGTAGTTGATGAATTAAATGCAATTATTACAAAAACAAATATAATAGAAAGTGATCAAATAAATAATGAAGAGTCAAACCTTCAATTATCAGAAAAACTTACTAATTCTAGTATTAATAATAATTCATTACATGGAGAATTATCTCAAATGATTCAAAATTTTAATCAGATGAATGAGAAAGATTTAGAATCGAATAATGAAACATCTGGCATTATTAACGATGATAACCTTCAAATATCAGCACATCTTACTAATTCTAGTATTAATAATTCATTTCAGATGAATGAAATAGAATTGGGATCAAATGATTCTATCATTTACGATGATACTATTGATAGTTTAACGATTACAGATCTTAATAAGGATGACATATTAAACGTCTCAGGAGGATTACAAAGATATCGAAAATTACAAGTGCTTTACTGTGGTTATACTCAGATAACCAACTTGCCAACTTTACCCAACTCCTTAACGGAACTCTGTTATCATAATACTCAGATAACCAGCTTACCAAATTTACCCTACTCCTTAATAAAACTCTATTGTTAGAATACTCAGATAACAAGCTTACCAACTTTACCCTACTCCTTGATAATACTCCTTTGTAGTAATACTCAAATAACCAGCTTACCAACTTTACCCAACTCCTTAATGGAACTTTATTGTAGTATTACTCAAATAACCAGCTTACCAACTTTACCCGACTCCTTGACAATACTCTATTGCTATAGAACTCAATTAACCAGCTTACCAACTTTACCAAACTCCTTATCACTACTTCATTGTAATAATACCAAAATAACCAGCTTACCAACTCTACCCAACTCCTTAAAAACCCTCTGGTGTTTTAATACACAAATAAATAGTTTACCAAATTTACCCAATTCCTTAACACACATCAATCCAAAATATTTAAAAACCCAATATTTCAATATCAAATATTCTTAGCATATAAAAAACTTTATTTGTAACCTTCTACATGATTTTGTATAATTAATGTTCAAGTTTTAAAAAGAAATTCCTATATTATAAATAATTTCTCCCCTTTTCTTGTAATTTATTTTCAGCCAACAGTAATGAGGATTTTAATACATCCATTGCGAAACGTTTAATATATCATAATTATGATATAAACTTTTTTATTTAAAAATTTTTTCACATTTATTTTTAAAAAAAAAAATATTATTTAGATTGACTTGTCCAAAATTGTATTTTAAATCAATAAATAATTTTATCAAATCTTTTTTTTAGTTGTTTCAAATGATCATATATGCATTTTAATAAGTGCTTATTCAAAGAAGAATATTTCTTTATGTTATATTTTGTAGAATAATGATTTAATTTTCACTAAATTTTTAATACTATACATCTTGTCACGCTTAACTTTTTTAATACAAAAAGAACTGTCAAAATACGTCGTTAAGTTAACAGAACATATATGCTAACAGTGAGTTTAATTACGTATAAACTATGAAAGAAATAAACACGAATTAATTAAATTGAAGGGTCTATTGATATAGATTTAAAGAAAAATAAATTTATGGCCGAGCAAAAAGATAAATATTATTGATTTATTTGAGATTTGTAACGACTCTGCTCTGCTCTTTTATCAAGATAAAGATACAGGATATTTATATAAAGTACATTAATATGAAATAGATATTTAATAAAGTAAAGAAATTAAATATATATAAGAAATTAAAGATAATAAAGATAATAAAGAAATTATAGAAATTATAGAAATGATAGAAAGTTAACTAACAACATTTTTACAATATTTAAGAAAAAAAGAAATTTGATCAAACATGATCATTTTACCGAAAACCAATAAAATGTCAGGAGTTTAGTTATAAATATATTCTGGTTGTATTAATTTGCTTTATATTGTGTTTAAATTTTTCTTAGTGTCAATCACATTCTCACGTAACCAGGCTGTAAATGAGTCAGGAATATCTCTAGTCCTCTAGAAATCAACTATACAAAGTATTTCTGTATGCGCGAGACTATTATAACTTACAAATCATTTTACCAGGGAAACAAATGAGTCTAATATATTATGTTTTAATTCAATAAAACATGTAAGCATTGATCAAGAAAAGAAAAGTTAATTTATTTCTTGCATTTATAAAGTTTGAACACAGTTCTGAAATTTGACAAATGTTAATTATCGGATATGTTTTGCAAAATAGTATCTACCTAAAAAATTCATTGTATTCAAAAATAAGTTTCACGAATCTTTTTATTAAAAAAAAAAAAAAATTTGTGGTTTTAAAATAAATTTGGTTGTTTCATCAAATCATTTCTTCATTCAGCTTGTCCGTATTAAATATTATTTTCAATAAATTCTTCAACAGTACGAAATACCGACCTGTCTTTGGATTTTATGGGAAGACGAGGATTAATATGTTACACTACCTACTTATAAAAACTAATTTTCATGCTAACTTGGTGGATGTGCAATGATGTTTCCCACTATCTTCAAATAAATTAAGTTCCCAGTTATAATTTAAATGAGTGATTTAACATCATCTGATCATCATTCCTAAAATACGGCTATTTATGACGTTCATTTCACTCTTGTTGATTGCAAAGAACTAGAAATTCTAGACTATTTTATGAAATTGTCGCAGAATTTGGCTTTGAACATTTTATTGTGATCGAAGAAGCACAATATGGGTTGCTCTTTCTAGATTGCTATGAACGAGTTTTTAAATGGGAAGAATCAGAACAAGTAATATGGCCATTAGAGAACTCATTAGAGGAGGTGAAGCCAGAATTGAAATTCAAAACTATGCGGATAGATCGGATGGAGCTGCATAATATGATGGTATCATGTGTAAAACGCTTCGTGGTATGTCCAAATGCATTATTATAATGAGAGTGAAAAAGTGCTATTTCTTTATTAACTTATTTTCAGGTTATGATTCAGAGATGTTGGAACGAGCAAGAAAAACAAGTGCTGTTAAAGGCGTAAAAAACAAATTTACTCTCCTTAATCTAAAATAAAAAATAAAATCTGCTATTCTGCATGAAATTGCTAAATATAAAAATATAATAAAAGATTTATTTATCAAAGTGGACTTGAAATATTCAATAGAAATATTTTATAAGATACGAATCAGGACTAGCCGTGATACATGATATTACTACGTTACTACATCTATTCCTATTTCTAATTTTTTATTGCAAGATTGCCTAATAACCTTCCCATTTTACTCCACTTTGAGAATCTTTCATTGGCTTCTGCGCCTCCTCGATCAACCATACAATATTATCAAAAGATTTTTTCCGCCATGTCTTTCATCATCATTTTCATACCTAACAAATAAGGGCTTTGACAACTTGAACAATGGTTTTCTTTCACTGTCTAGCGTACATTCCATAAAATACCATTTTCCGCATCTGTTAAAAATCTCATACTTTATCCATATCGTACTCATCGTCTATTTCATTAGCTTTATGTTTGCGTGATAGTGAAGATTTCATCTGTACGGTGGCTTGTGTAAAGCCCTGTATAAAGTCATCTTTTACCTCAATCAAACATATTGTTCTCCCAGTTGTGCGTGATTCAATACCATAGTCAAAATTTCCACGACGGTTTTTCCTTCGACCAACTTCTCAGGTACTATCTTTATTTGACTTTTTAGTGGGTAAGTTGCTGATGCGAGAGAACAGATGCTTTTTGTAGCCTCATATGATACTTCGATGGAGGTTGTTGCGATATGAGTCTCCACTTCATCAAATACTTTTCATTCTTCGTGTCCACACAACCACATGGAAAAACAGGATATACGTCTATATTAGGATTCGGGACATCACTAAGCCCATAGAGCTCACATATATGTATATACTTTCGGAAAGTTCCAGGAGTTGAATGGTGATGAAAAAGCACGTGAAATATCCCGCACGGAATATGAAATCTTTGAATATGCAACTAATAACCGCGCGGATCTTTATTAATTTAGAAATAAAAGCGACAATTCCCTTTTTCCCTCTGAGATTGTCTTTAACAAGAAAATACGCACGGCTTACAACATATTACATTCCATCATGATCAATTTGTCAATCATATATTGTATTATCACACAGGTTTGTTGTGTTGTTAGTAGAACAATTTAAAAATATTAGAAATTACGAGACTAATATATCCTATATTTAACATTATATAATTTTTATTATAATAATATGAAACAAAAAAAAGTAATATTAATATTAATAATATTGATAATTGTTAAAAACATCTCCCTTAAAATGCAATCTGATATTAATAAATTTTTCAAATATTTTAATTATCATTACAAAAAGAATAATTTTGTTATTCATAACATTTAATTTATAATAAATAATTATAGTTTACTCAATAGCTACGAAATAATTTACCAGGAACGCATTAATAAATATATATAAGGTTAACTACCCAGTTAATGTGGAAAGATAATTGGTATCAAACTTTAATTTTATAATTTCCTTTTTGAGAAGGTAAGTAAGTACTGTTCACGTTTTATCCACAGTCAGGATATTATTCTTCGGTTTAATTTTTTTTTTCGGATTTTGTACCTTTTGGATTAATTTCTATTTTTAAATTTTTTTGCAATTTTGCGAATAATAGTACAATATTTATAGATGATTTCTATCTTTGATTAACAAAACTATCATAATTAAATTAATAATTTACATTGAAGAAAGATATATTTGTAATTTAAAAATGTTTATGATCGACCAAAAAAAAAAAAATTTGAATGATTGTGAAAAAGGAAATAAAATAATCAGAATCATGTCCTCTTAAAAAGGTAACCTGAATTAAATTTTGGATCCAATAAAAATGATTTACCAATAAAATTATTCCGTACTACTTTACAGACTTTACAGTTATTAATTAATAGCAAATCGTTTGTTATTAAGATATAGCCAAGTTTTTTGTTCGTATTATGCTATTTATTTGTTTTATAATATCAATTCTTTTCTCTTATTGCGGGCATTTTAAATTATTATTTTCTTGTTACCTCAGAAAAAACTTTATTCTTACAAATTTTATTTTCACAAACATATTAATTTCGTCATACAAAATTTTAGAGCGTTGGCAATTACAACCGGAACATTAGTCCTTTAATGTTTTCAATTTTTTAATTAACGTACGTAATAGGACCAGACCATTATCATTCATTATCCTATGATCAAATTTCAAATTTCATTGAAAATTTTTAACATAAATTATCAACACAAAAATTAAATCGTCTTACGTCAGTGAAATTTTTATAGTTTAACAGAACTTGTTCGTCAGTTTTTTTTTTAAAAAATTACTTTCTTTCGCATAATAATTTAAGAAAGTTTATTTAAAATGACTAATGTTTATCCATTCTTTGCTATTAAAGTTAGATGAAATCAAAAGCGATTCCAATCTTCTTTGCTAAATATATCTACTGATGGTTTGTGATTAATTACTGTAGCATCTAATTGATTTTTATTATTTACAGTAGATTTAGATGGAAAAGAATAAATTATCTAATCTTCGTGGCTTCTATCCTTCCGAGTTTTGTAAAATCCATAAGATTTATAAGCGGTTAATAGATTAATTAAATAATGTTTCTTTTGTAAATAATAATGCAACAAATCCATTTCAAAAGACGCAACAAGTTAGCGTTAAAACTATTTTTATATTTTATCTTTGTACATAAAATGCGGCGTAACATACGTGAATGTAAATGAAATGGCTTTTTGGCTTTTCTAACTTACCTTATTTAAGTAACAAATGTAAACCATTATCGTTATTGACCGCAGTATCATTGACATTATATTAAGAGATGATCGGCTAAAAGTTTATGGTTTATTTTTACAAATCACGGGATTAAAAAAAAAAAGGAATTCCAAATCCTTTGCTGCATAAAATATCGGTTTTTTTTTTTATATAAATAAGCGTGATGTTTGATTTATTTTTCGTTAGCAAATTTTTTCTATTTTAACGACAAACTCATACCAAGGAAAAATCATTACCAACTTTTGATTTTCTTTGGGCTATAATCTTTCAACCTTACAACCCTTTCCGTCAATACTCATAAAGACATCATCATATTTAAATATTATATTATATTTAATTCAAATTGTCAAATAAACATCAATTACAAATTCTTAATTCATCATGTTGTTTAAAGTTTTATGTACATCTACATTTGTTTCAATTATCGCGTCAAGCGTTTCAAAATTTTCCTCTAATACCCCACACATGGAACCTAGTCATCATCACCATAAAAAGTAAGTATAATCAATCAACCTTTCTCCCATTTTTTGAACGTCCACTTACGATTATTCTTTTTACTCTTATTTCGTAGTAGGGAAGAAAATTCAAATCAAAACCATTATCATGCTCCTCGTTATCAATTTTCAAGATATAGCCAAACTGTTGACGTAGATTCCACCACGTGGAAACCTAAATTTAAACATTTAAAATCTAGCAAACGAAATTAAAATTAAATGTTTAGAATTTCATTTTGTTCACATAAAAGATATTTTGTTAATTAGCTGTATTATAATATATTGTCTTTCTTTTTTTTTTGTTACCAACATCGGAAAACTCTTCCGGCAATATAGTTCGAATTTGTCCTTTCATTTAAAATAAAAAATAACCATATTTGGCATTGTTACATTACAAATAATTCCTGTAATTTTCAAAAATTATGTGACACATTATTGTTATTATATATAATCAACGCACGTAATACTGAGTTTGACACGTATTTTAATAAAGTTTTTCCTAAATTTATCAATATTAAAAAATATTTTCGCAGTTAAAACATGTTCCGGATACATGCTACCCGGTAACCATGAATATCCGGGTCAATACTGTAATACATTTTTAATCCTCTGTCATAATAATTTCTGTTGGAATTAAAGTTAGTGAAATAAATTTTTATAAGCAATTTAGTAAATCATACCAAAGATCTAACTCGTTTTGTTCCCGAGTAACCTCTTGTTTTATCAAAAATTCTGAAAAAAAAAACGCATGGTCAAATTTTGCATTTCAATATATCTATTGATTTCAGGATTTTTAATGATATCGTTAGGAGTTAAGAAAGATTTCAAGGTAAAACTTAATGTCAGAATATTTTAAAAAGATAAATAAATATTCGTTCGCTATAAATCAAGTCACGTGAAATAATCCTTAACATTAATAGCAGGAACATTTTTTTTTGTTTGCGAATAGTTGCTGGTTATAATCGGATTCAATTATTAAGGATTTTGATTAATAATATATATTTTTAAAATAAAAAGATTTATTGGATTTTAAGAATATACTATTTTATATTCATGTCTAATAAAATTTTATTGCTTTGTTTGCTTTGTCCAAAGGAATTTTCTTAGATCCGACACACAGGCTATTGTTAAATAAACTTGTTTTAGGACATTAAATTCCTTTCATTTTTTTTACAACTATGAAATTGATATACTGTAAAATTTTAGATACATTAATGCATTTTCTTTAATATTGCTTGAAGTATAAGCTGTTTTGGGAAAACAAGCTTCTTGCAATTGAACTTGATGTTTAAGTTAAGCACGGTATGTTAAAATAGTTAGACTCGATTAACTAAAATAGTTAGTTTTGATTTACTCAAATGGTTAGTTTAAGTCTGCTTATAATTCTTTCTTAAAATATACATTATTTTTACTTTAAAATAATACATAAATATTGAACCACCAATGTTTTCCGTCATTCCTCCATCACTTAAAATTATTTCTTTGGGCACTTGAGATTTATTAAAAAAATTCTGATGGAAAAAGTTATTTTGGTCAAACGCGCGCTTGAATTAGACTATATTGATATGGGACTTTTTGCAATAGAAAGGTGGAAACTGCCGGGAAAAATCAAATTTACTTTTATATGCCAATTCTCAGGCCGAAATTTGTTCAAATATAGCATGAACTCATTTTTTATTTTTCCCGACAGTTTACCCCCTTTTTTAAAGCAAAGGCCACATATATATACTTTTTGTAGCATAATTGAAGCGGGTCTGGTATATTCCGAAGATCAAAATCCCGAAGCGTCTAAATCCCGATGTCATTCATGATCATAATATCCCGACCAAATCCTGAATATTATTATTACTGTGCCCATTGAATATACTTTTAAGAGTTTAATCACGAGTTTAACAAAGTTTTTGAGTTAATGATAATGCTTTTAAAAAAAAAATACTTTTTACCAACATCGCTTTCATATGCTTTTAAACAATAAAAATGGATGATACAACATTATCCTATCGAAAGAAAGTTTTAATAATTGCGATACAAATTGAATATTGTTATAAGCTAACCATTCGGGATTATAGTCATTTGGGATTATTATCTCGGTATTTAATCTTCGGATTTTGAACGCCACCCGATAGATGCTCATACGAAAAAAAAAAAAAGGTGCTAAACATATTAAACTTGTTTACGAAACTTTATTATGTTTGGATTATTAGTACCAGCCGTTTGAGTCAGAGTCGACGCTCTGCAATAACTGAGCCATGACTGAGTCGCTGTTCCAAATTTGATATGTCAGAATTTTTAATTAAATAAAGCTTCAAATTTTTAATCAAATGGGATTCTTGTCAACATTATCTACTTTTTGCAACATTAATTATATTTTAAAATTTTTTGTTAAATATTAAGATATTAATAATACAATTATTGTCGCTAATTTCAAATGAGAGTCTCGACTCAGTCGACTCCAGAATTTGTCACGTTGGGATTAAAAAAACCATATACATCTCTTTTTAAAAAGGTACCATTGATAATATTATAAGTTATACAGTATGAGGCAAATTTTATATTGTTTATTACCGCTCCGTGGATGTGCCATTTTAATGACTCGATAATCAGAACGCAGAAGCTCTAGTACGAAACTGTAAACATCTCAAATTTCTAAATTAGAAGAGATGGGATTTCTACTCCGGATCAGATAAAGCAAAAGAACTTATAATAAACATGCTAACTTTAAACAGATTTTTTATTTAACCTAAAAATTTATATTTAATAATCTGCTTAATTGTCGCCTAAAATTCTTCAAAATCAATTTGTTGAATTATCTGATCAAACACTTGACTAGTTATTATCATCTCGCTAATTTTTATCAGAATCGCATTGTCCAAAGCAATACAATCAAACGAATAAAAATTGAGGGTGATTTATAATCAAAGTATTTTCTAAATTGAACGAATATTTTTAAAAGTCGTTTTTAATATATATTCATAGGATGAATAGATAATTCTAAATTTGTTAGAGAAGTATTTAAGAAGAGATTTTTTTTTTGACTTTTTATTAAACTCCATGACCTAATAATTAATGTGAATGCAAAAATAGCTACTCGATTAAAATTTAATTGCTAATGATTATTTTAATTAAAATTTTATGACTTCGAGTTTTAAACTAAAAAAATTACCATGGTGAAAAAAAAATAACATATTAATTAATTCGTCCAAATAGTCCTAATAGTCGAATATATTAGTTAAATTTTCTTTGGAATCTTGACACCCATTTTCTACAGCTTTCTTATACCAATTAATAGCATTTTCTATATTTTTGTCCGTTCCTTCATCACTTTCATATAGATATGCAAGCCTTTTTTGTGCTTCACAACTACCTTCATTAGCTGCTACTTTATACAATTCTAAAGCTCTTGCTTTATCAATATCAATTACAATTCCATTATCATAAAAATATCCAACTTTATATTGAGCTTCTAAGCATCCTTTATTAGCCGATTTCTTATAAAATTCGAATGCCCTAACTAAATTCTCACTAATTCCTTTCCCTAATTCGTAAAATTCACCTAATTTGTATAATGCAAATTTATTGTCGTTTTCATCAACTTTATGATACCAATAATTGAGTTTATCTAAATCACTCATTTTATCTAACGAATCAATATGTTGCATGTTGTCGTCTTTATTTCTAGCCGCTTCATTATATAACTTGAATCCTATTTCTTTATTAATCTCTGTTCCAATTCCAGTGACATAACAATATCCAAGGTGAAACTTTGCCTCTTGATCTCCTTGATTAGCAGCCTTTTGATAAAATTCAAATGCTTTATACTCATCTATTTTAACACCGTTTCCAAATTCATAATGTTCACCCAAATTGCACAATCCAATCACATCACCATTATCTGCTGCTTTTTGACACCAATATAAGCTCATTTTCAAATCCTTCTTTATTCCTTCTCCTGTTTCATATAATACTGTGAGCATATTTTGTGCATTAATATTACCACTTTCTGCTGCTTGTTGATGCCAAATAAAAGCTTTTTCTAAATTCTTTTCTGTACCTTCTCCATATTGAAAACATAAACCTAAATTATACATCGCAGGAATATATTTATTTTCTGCTGCTTTTTGATGCCAAATAAAAGATTTTTCTAAATTCTTTTCTGTACCATTTCCATATTGAAAGCATAAAGCTAAATTATACATCGCAGGAATATTTTGATTTTCTGCTGCTCTTTGATACCAAAAAAATGCTTCTTCTAAATTTTTTTCTGTACCTTCTCCAAATTGATAACATAAAGCTAAATTATACATCGCAGGAATAATTTGATTTTCTGCTGCTCTTTGATACCAAAAAAATGCTTCTTCTAAATTCTTCTTTATTCCTTCTCCAAATTGATAACAAAAAGCTAAATTATTCATTGCATGAATATTTTGATTTTCTGCTGCTTTTTGATACAAGTTAAATGCTTTTTCTAAATTTTTTTCTATGCCTCTTCCATAATGATAACATGAAGCTAAATTATTCATTGCAATTATATTATCCTTTTCTGCTGCTTTTTGATACTGATAAAATGCTTTTTCTAAATTTATTTCTGTACCTTCTCCATATTGATAACATAAAGCTAAATTATTCATTGCATGAATATTTTTATTTTCTGCTGCTTTTTGATACAAGTAAAATGCTTTTTCTAAATTTTTTTCTGTACCTTCTCCATATTGATAACATAAAGCTAAATTATTCATTGCAATTAAATTATCCTTTTCTGTCACCTTGTGATACCAATAAAAGGCATTTCCTAAATCCTTTTTTGTGCCTTCGCCCTGTTCATATAAATAACCAAGCAAAGCTTGTGCATTATCATACCCCTTTTCAGCTAAATCTTTACATATTTCAAATGCTTTTTTTTTATTAATATCGATTCCGATTCCAAAATAATAGCAAATTCCAAGCTTATATTTTCCATTTATAAAATCATTTTCATGAAATTTCTTATATATTTCAAATGCTTTACTTTCATTTTTTTCTACACCAATTCCCAATTCATAACATTTACCTAAATTAAGTAAACCACATAAATTTCCATTATTAGCCGTTTGTTGATACCAATAAAAAGCTTTATCAAACCTTTCATCTGTTCCTATACTATGCTCATAATAAATACTAAGATTAAGTTGTCCATAAATTGCATCCATTTAAAAGCGAGATCATAATTTATATCAGTTCCAATTCCTTCTTTATAACAATTTGCAAGATAAACTTGTGCAATAGGATAATTATCTTCGGAAGCAATTAAGAATAATTTAAATGCATCATAGTAATTTTTCTCCAAATTGAGATACAAAAATCCCAAGAAAAATAGATATTTTGACTTCAATTGATTTTTGTTAAGCCATTCAAAGATCTCATTCGAAGTCCGATTGGAAAGAAATATACAGTGATTAATAAGATGTTCATTTTCATTAAAATTATTTCCTTTATTATGTGTTTCAATTAATAGTTTAATTAGCTTACAAATAAGGTTATCCATACTATCTTCCATATCATATATTTCCATAAATAATTTTTCTGCTTGATATAAAATATGTTGTGAATTGCATTCGTTATATATTGTTTCTAAATTGCAATCATGCAATAATTTGCTTAAAAATAATTCTGAATTATTGCTATACATGCATTCTATGTTTACTGATTCCGTTTTATTTTCTGAATAAATAATGGAATCAATTTCACTATTATTTTTCCCAAAAATTATTGATTGAAGCGACTTAACAACATTTTGCATAGTAGGACGAACATTTGGATCATCTTTCCAGCAAGCTATAAAAAATAAATAAATTTAATTGATAGTTTATTAAATAAATATAAGAACATATAAATATATAGCACATACCTTCAAACAAGTTGCTATATTCGATAGGAGTATCCACGACAATTGTTTCTCTCTTCCCTTCTCTAATTTTCATTATTAAATTGGCATCATATTCTATATTGTCAGCATAAAAAGGTTTATGCCCACTTGAAATTTGCCAAAGAAGGATTCCGACACTATAAACATCAGATTTCGTGTTTAATTTATAATGTTTGTCTTTGTTCTTATTTTGAATATTATTTAAATAATTTGGATCAATATAAGGAACAACGCCAAACACATCTGTTGAATAACTTGATATATCAGATATTTTTCGCGATAAACCAAAGTCCGCCAACTTTATATGATTCTGATGCACAAGTACATTTTGTGCATGCTATATAAACATTAAGAAAATTAATTATCTTATTTGATATAAACTACCGATAACATATTAATTACAATATTTGCTTACCAAATCACAGTGAATTATCCCTTCGTTATGCATACATGCTACAGCATTTGCAAGTTGCAAAGCTAGTTGATATTTACAACTCCATTCTAGATTATTAAAATTTTCCTTCAAATAAGACTGCAATGATCCACCATCAGCGTACTCCATAACCAACGAATACTTGTTTGTTAAATCCGATTTTGATATCCCATAAAATTTTATAATATTTGCATGATAATCAACTTCACGTTGCATTTTTATCTATTATTTTTATATCCTAAATAAGTTTTTATTAATTATAAAAAGAATTTATTGTAATAACATACCTCATTAACAATCTCTTTAATGGTCAAATCATATGAATGTTTTAGAGCCATGATAGTTTCAGAACCTTTCCAGTTTGCGCAAGAAACATTTCCATAAGAACCGCAGCTGATTTCTTTCAAATTAGAGAACTTATCAAAATCATAATACTTAATATAATTTTCTGATATCGCTCTTTCTAACCAATCAAAATCAGAATTGAAATTATTCATTTCGGTCGTGGGACTGTTTAAAGAAAATTTGTCAAAAAGTTCAAATAAATAATTTTCATACGACTTATGTAAATAGCTATATATTTTTTAATTTGTGTAACAAACACAATAAATTGAGCACAAAGAATTTTCTTGTGGTCGAAATCTGTTGTCACATGATTTTTTTAGAAAATCTACGTGAAGCCAAAAATTCTTAAATTATATGATCAAATTTTCTCAGAAATATCGTTCATTCTATATTGCTTAAATATTTAATATTTGATTTTTGAATAACCTGACTAATATTTAATTTAATTAATTTATTAAATTGAAATGCTGTATTAATGGATCTAAAGTCTATGTTCTGCTAATTGATAATACATATTCTAACATCATTTGAATTTGATTAATGAATACCTATAAATTCGACGATTAGAAATTATAATTTTTATATAAATTACAAGTATAATTAATATATATGAGAGGGAAGAGCTTTTTTTTTGTTAGTCGCATAACTTGGACTCTAGTGTCGTACGAGAGAATACATAACGTGCGTAATACGAAAGGAAACTTGGGTATATTTATGTTGTAAGTTTAAGTAAAAAAGTTCAAAATCTAACGCAATGTTATATGAGAATTTTCGAAAAAAAGTCTTTATCATTAAATACGTCCGTATAGTAAACGTAATAAATGTTGACCTAAAAATCTTGTGATCGATTATCTTTTTGTAAAACCAATATAAAGTATATTCCCACATTGATCTCGTTCTAGACATAGCTCGCCCGCGTGTTTAAATTTACGAGTATTTGAACATTGTGACCTTGATTTAATAAAATTTCATTTTATTAATTTGGTTTAAATGATCGACATAAATGAACCATTAGTATTTTTCAATTTATGATTAGCCGCAGTAAATTCTCAACGACTTCGGAAGTACAGAACTGCATAAATTGATAAATTTCTAATAAATAAAGCTTGCATCATTTGAAACCCTTCTGTTTACCTTACATTTGTTTATAAATATAAATGTAAAGAATTGGAAGTCGTAACAATTGCTTTAACCCTAACTGCTAACTTTAAAACAATATTGCCGATAAGCAATAAATTTAATCTACTTCAACTTGGATTGATTTAATTATTTAATTATATTACATTAGAAAGATGACATTTTCATTTCAATGGAATAATTGCTTATGGAACGACAATTAGTACGACTTAACATTTTATAAAAATGAAGACTGGACCTACCGATGAATGGTTCATACACTATGAATAAATTACACCTACTTTTGTTTGGGCATAACGTGCTATGTTCACAATTTAATGATAATAAAAGAACTAATAACTTCCGACCTTATAGCACTCAAAGCGCAAGAATCCCATATACAGCACAAGATCAAAACTATAATGTTATCGTGGCTCCTTCTATTCGGACATATTTTGAAAATAGATGTAATCACAATTCAAATTAATATGACACCACTTGATATGCTATTTTCGTGATTTTATATTTCAATACAATATATGCGTGTTCTTGTAGGAACTTTAAAACCTCCTTTAATGTACTTTATTCGATAACGGGTCTACTTGAAAATTCTAGATTATTGAAATAAGTTCTTTGTACTGTATTTTCTATATTTAGACGAATCCTAAATAAACTTATGACATAACGTCATCTTATTTGACTAACCAATGGTTGAGGTCGAATAAATGTAAATGCAAGCTAGAAGCTTTGATTCAATAATGTAAGCGATTTTAACAGATCCCGCCTCTGTCACTTCTGTCACTTTAAAAATGAAAAAAATTTCATTTAAAGGAAAAAGGATAAAAGAAATGGATCTCGTGTCGTACACGGAGATTTATTTGCTGCTGTGGTTTATTTATAAAGCGAAATCAATACCGTGTCATTATTTGATATAACAAAACAACTCCGAGGCAATGGTGAAGCATGTATATCCAGGTTTGCCATGCGTTCCACGTATTTCGAGGAAGAGTGCCAAACTTGTTCATTTTAAAAATTACTTAAGACACATTATTATTTATTTTTTTACAGCAATCAAAGAGGTAGCTTGTTGGCCGTAAAATCAAATTTGACAACAGCTGTGCTAATGAATGTTAATGTATTTATTTTATGTAGAAGAAAAGGTGAATGGGGATTAAATTAAATGACTTTATTTAGCTTCTTAAGTCAAGTCATTAAGCTTTTTGTTTTCATATTCGTTCTACTATTTTACATGTATGGTATATAACAAAAAAAAAATTTTAAGTTTTCGGTTTACTGTATTTAACTCATCCAATTTAACGTAAAAATGCACGAAAATCATAATAAATTCAAATATTTACATCAAGATTATACTAATCCATAATTTTGTACTTAAGAAATTTCGAAGTTGATTTGCTCGATTGTACATTGTCAAACGTGCCAGATGTTTCCGAAAAATTCACAATATGCAAGCATAATTTCAACCCACGAACCAATAGGAGCATCCAGAAACTTTACAGGTCCATTCGGAAAATTTGTAGGATGACAAAATTTGCCAGTTGACACATTGTGTTTCAAGAAATTCCAGAAAGAAAAGTACTTATTCCAATACAAATATTTGCTAAACATAACTTCAAAGCTTTGCTATAAAGTTCGTGAAGTTTCATCATTGTCACATCTCGAACTTTCCAAGCTGAGCATAATGTTAGATTTTGAGTGACATGACCGAATATAAATAAACATGCACCTAATATCTCAATAATAATGAAAAAATTTAAAAAAAAAATAAGAATCAAATTGGTCTTTTTCTGTAAATTTAACGAATGTTTCCATGTTTAGCATATTAACATGCATTAATAAATTGTAATTTATGGAACGTGAAGGAATTCATCTATCTTTTGGATATGAAGATTTTTATTGGGTAATGCCAGATATTCCCACCCGAAATATTTATGTGGTAAATTTTCCGTCCGGAATATCATCACCCACATGATCATGAAATTTCAAAACTTAACTTTACAAATTTTCTTCTCTCAAAATCTCAAATTTTTTTTTTTTAAAAAAAAAAAAAAAAAAAAGATCTAAATTGACAATTTCAATCATTTTTTATATTTTTTTGCGCGTTAACAGACTGACTATCAAGAAATTATTGGTAAATAATCACCGCATTACATCGAAATTATAAACATATTCTGAAACAAACCATAAATTAATTACTTTTTGTAACCAAATTGAGTCCATCCATGATATTCAACAAATATTTTGAATGTGATAAAATCATTTCGAAAAAGAAAAAAGAACCTTTATATAAATATAGGCATACTGTGCGGTTTTAAAAGTTCATTCCTTTGGCTGGTCTACCTTTTTTTTTTTTTAAAAAAAAAAAATAATTAATATGAAACAATCAATTAATCATAAACTAAAGATTGATTATTTAATATCAAATGATACAACCCTAAGCCAGCAGTCTCATCCCACGGTTAAACTAAAGTATCAGAAATGCAAAGAGTGCAATCGTAACAGAAAACATTTTAACAAAATACATCAAGTGTGTGAACAATGCTATAATGAAATAGCTTTACTTATATCAAGCGGTAATAAAGTCGTCGATGATTTTATAAGATCAACACAAACCAATCGTGATAAAGTTGGAAGGATGGAATTTGTTCCCTATGATAGATTCAAAGACTTGGAATTTATTGCCGAGGGAGGATTTAGTAAAGTATATAAAGCAACTTGGATCGACGGCCCGGTTAGGTGTCATAGTGGAAAAACATATATGCGTACTGGTGAAAAAAAAGTCGCCCTCAAAAAACTTGATAATTCCAAAAATTTCAGTTCTAAAGAGATAAATGAGGTGTTGTAATTTATTTTAAATTAATTTTCTTATCAATACGAGACAAGTAACATAATTTTGTTTTTTTTTTCAGTTTAAATTGTATCATGAATTCTATTTAAAATGGAAAAATAAAAATAAACATGTTCGGGTTAATTATGCAATACTCGAAACATATAGTCATATCAATAGATATTTTGGGATTACTCGAGATCCTATTACACAAGATTTCATGATAATTATGCCATATTATGAATCAGATCTGACACACTACATCTCAAAGAATTTTTTCAATCTCACTTGGTGGGATAAGTTGCTTAAGTTGATCGTCATTATCGAAGGACTTAATAATATGCACAGTACGAATATTATTCACCGAGATTATCACAGCGGAAATATTTTTTCTTCAGGCGTAACCGGTGATTTAGGGATAAGTAAATTCGGTACGGAATCATCAGATCCTGACGGTAATGAGGTTTACGGGATCATTCCTTACGTTGCCCCGGAGATCTTTCAAGGACAAGGTTATACTAAAGCTTCAGATGTGTATGGGTTTGGTATGATTATGTGGGAATTCTTGACAGGCAGAAGACCTTTTTGGAATCGAGATCACGATGTAGATCTTATTATTGAAATTTGTGATGGTCTTCGTCCTTCAATCGTTACAAATGCACCTGTAGGTTACATCGAATTAATGCAAGAATGTTGGAATTCTAATCCAGCCAAAAGACCAGCAGCTGCCGATATAGAGTCAAGAATGAAGAGTATAAAAATTTCAGAATTGAATAATGAACTTAAGAATAGTCCAACTACATCCACAAATTTGCGAAACATTGGACCCGTAGCAACAAATAATCCCAGTGCCATCTATAAAAGTAGACCCTTAGGTGCAATGATAAGATCTGCAAATGTTAGAAATCGGTAATTAAGTTTTTTTTTATATATATATATATAATGGCGGAACTTATCTTTCTAAATGTATCGTGTAAGCATCCGATAATCCTAATATAAAAACATCGCATTATTCCCTTTCCTATTGTAATAACTCCGATCATCATTAATAAAAATACCTGATCGTATAGAGCGCCGACGTTGTAGTCAATACTTTATCTACGTTGTATTACTCCGTTATTATTAATAAAGTAAATAAAACACGAAAACAATAAAACCTTTTGCTTACCTTTAACATCGTTTATAAACCATAAACTCCGAAGAACTGCTAATAACAATATGACGGCAGGACTTGTATTCTCGAATCATTTCTTTCATAATTAGTGTCACGTGGGCAGATTAGCTATAAGGAAATCATCCCGGACACCTTAAAATCCGCTAATGTATTTAATATTTTTTATGAAATATTAAATGACGAAACTACGCCATAAATGATTAAATTTCAATTATATAAAACTTATAATAAAGTCAAGTTAGGATGATATATTTATTTATTTGTTTATTTAGAATCTTCAGCTTCTTTAGCTTCTTTAAATGAACCAGGTTTTTAATTGTATTATAGCGCAAAAACAAAAGATGAGAATTAAGTTATACGGATATCAATGATTTTCACGGCGCAGCCGTGATAATCATGATTAACTGTTTTTTATACACTTCACATTTATTTGATAATGTTATTATATCCGGATATCCTTAATTATCTACGGTTATGAATATCTTTTAATTTATCCACGCAAACTCTAAAAAAGGCTATCCAGATATCTGATATTCAGATAGACCATCCACAGATCTAGCCATTAGCTAAAATAATATTAATTCTATATTTTATTGTTTTCATATTTAATATGTATTTTTTCTTAGGCAAATTTTTGTTTTATCCAAATTTTTAAACTTAATACAGGCCTTAATTCTTTCATTGAAAATATATTATACGGAATTTTTCTTATACAGTATTTCATTTTATATATAATTAATGTATTAATGTCTAATATTGTAAATTTTAAAAATCATAAATTTTAACCATACCACAAAAAAATAAACAAATAAATAAAAAAAAATTGTTAATACATATTAGATTAAATTAAAAATGTGCTATCAACTGCGATATTTTTTTAAACAAATGTGCTATCAACTGCGATATTCTTTTAAACAAATGTGCCATCAACTGCGATATTTTTTTAAACAAATATGTCAAAAACTTGATCAAAAGTAAAATTAAAGAAAATACCACGAGACATGCTATAATGAAGATACTAAGTGCCAATTTTTTATAGACAACAGTACGCTTTCTAACATCATTATCATCTGAATATATTAACTTAAACATAATCACTAAAAGTAAGACGAGTTTTATTACTTGCAAAGCATCCATAATGTATCCCAACCGGTCAATGTATTTTTTTTCTATTTTCCCACGATGTTTGCCTAACCAAAAGTAAAAATCTGGACCGCCTAGATTCAAAATGAATTTTGTGAGTGAAAGTCACTTTTATTTTTGAAATGGTAAATAAAATGACGACTCACCAATAAGAATACCGAAAAATTCTATGAAACTAAACCGACTATCATCATCAGTCTCTATTTCTAGATTTGTGACCTTGTAAATAATATAAATCTCTACCATTCGAGGAAAAAGTTCACCCGCACATAAGTTCAAAAAAATAATGAACCCCGGGCTATGAATACCTCCAGTCGTATAATAGCGGTAATAGTAATAAAACGTTATGAAGGTGAATATGAGTGAAACAATTTGACATAGAGTCATTACGATGGCCTTTCTCCTATTCCATTTATTCTTTTCCTCAAAAGGATACTTTTTAATTTTCACTATTTTTCCATTTTCAATATCCGGATTGCTCGACGACATCTCGAAATAAAAATTGTTGAGTTTGAAATACGAAAAATTAATAAAAGGTATAACTTTTTATACTGCTATTCCAAGTTGCCAAGTCAATTGATACGCAACATATCTAGTCACCTTATATATAGAAAACTTCAACCCTTTTACAGGACTGTTCGTTAAATGCATAGTGATAATCTTTATTAGTTCAACCTATTAATGGTGCGTAACGCTCTTTAAATAAACAATGAATTATATCTGAAAAATTTTGTGTATTCAGGACTAATTTGTCAATTTGTTTTTTAATAACAGCATTTTGATTCATTTGATTCACAGTCTGCGAAATTTTTGACCTTACAAAAAATTTCCTGACCATGTTATACTTAATGAGATATTTTACCTATTAAAAACCATTGACGGATTTGATCGGAAACTCGGGCTAATACGCATCTCAATTTAGTAAAAACTGATACTTAATTACCCGTCATTTTAAATAGTCGGTCCGAGGACGAATTGACACCCTGAAACAGTCGATCAATTTGTAATCAATGGATGACCGATCGATCACCGCATTGGATAATTATTTATCAAAAAAATAAATAACTTTTGAATCATTATGTACAGTATTTTGATTAATTATAAAAGGATGGTTCCTTGCTAACTTGCTAATCTTATTAGAACTTTATTTATAAACAAGATGATTTCACATGTTTGAATAAGTTAAATAACATATTTTTGGATGCCTATCGCTATTATATTAAAAAGAAAGTCGGTCAATATTAGAACAAAAACAAGAAGAAAGTAAAGCTTAAAAATCTGGTTCAGATTATGAATAAATCACTTTCAAAAAATTAGGAAATTTGAATCACTCTAACTATTAAATTTAAAAATTCATGATTAGATTTTTAGATGAAGAGTTTAATTTTAAATTTTTCTTACTAAAAAAAATTTGATTAATTGAATCAAATGAATTTGATATAGACTTTTATATTTGCTTTTTATTTTAATTAGTTATTTTACAATTTATTAATAGAATTACATTTAAAAAAATATATATCAGATTTTAGCATTAATAAAGTACGGATAGTATTATATTTTTTAATCATAATTTAACATCAGTTTTATGATAACTACCCTCTTAAATAATTTTTTTATACTCAAAATATTCCAATAATTCTTATATATATTACTAAATATACAAATTGGTATTATTAACTGAAAAAATTATTTAATATTCAATAGATTACAAATATGATATAAAATCACTTTTTTATAACTGACTCTATTTACGTAAATATTTTAACTATCATAAACTTTTCTTTCTTTTATAGTTTTATTCTGATTTTTACAATTATATAGTTATTAGCTAAACATTCTAATATTAAAACCCGCTAAAAAGCTTGGCTTAATGCTTCCGAAAGGGATGGATCGGGGTACCCGATCTGGATGTAAAAGTCTTAATCTAAACCCTGGCCATTGTGCAATTCGATTCGATGATTGATTCGGTTAAAGAGTACTTAAATTTACATGATGGGCTGGGCGTGATGATGTGTGATTTTATCGCGATTATAATTCCGGCTGAAATTAACATAATTTCAGAGTAAAACCTAGAGTAAATCATGTGGTCGACTAAATCACCCAATTAAAATCGTCTTGACCATACTCACTGAATCCCGTTTATCAAAAATAAATTAGATATAGAAATCCTTATCCTTATTTTGCTACAAAATTCAAAATGTCGAAGGGTAGATTGGAGAACTAGAAGGTTGATATCGCTTCGAATTGCGCAATTATCATAGCTACTGGGTGAGATTACGTGTAAGATACTAGTGAGGCTGATTTCTTAGGATACAAACAAAAACTTGAGGCTAAACTGGGCGTTCTTAGCACCCGATTCAAAAATGAGTTCACAGTTCATATCCTAATTTACGAGGCATTATCATAGAAATAGATTTCCCTTTTTTTCCTCTTAAATTCAGAATAAGTAAACAGTTACATTACCTATGATAACCTGATTGCTATTCGAAATAAATAATACCTTTTTCTTCCACAGATCCCCGATTTCATGATTAGATAATAGGTATTACCTGCTAAATTCTTTTTCAAGTAGGGAATGTCCTCTGACTTTTGCATTTATGCGAAAAGGCGGATAAAGGAAGGGAAATCAACGTCATGAAGAACTGCATCCTTCGGAAAATATATATTTAGTGTGGATAGGTTTATCATAGTATAGAAATGACTTCGAGTTGCAAAGAAATCCTAGGGAGAATCAGACGTATTTATTTATTCTATTATTCTATACATTTCGTAATAATAAAAAAGTCTCCACAACGCGCTCCCATTAAAAAAGTTGATCCGTATAATTTTTTCGTTTTGATTCCATGAAGGGCTTTCATTTTCACGGAATTTATAATCTTAAATCTTCATCTCATTTACACGGATTCCGTGAAAGGCTCATTTTCACGGAATTTTTACAGAAGCCCACGGGCATGACTTTGGTCAATCACTTAACAATATGCGATCTATTAAAGAAAAAAGCGTTATACTGTTCATTCGTAATATATTTTTTTCCCGAAAGTTCTCAATGTATTTTCAGGTTTTGAATATCGTATATATCACATATCATAAGAACGAAACGAAAATGGAAATCGGTCTTTGAACGTCAGTAAGAAAACCGGAAATTGCTCCTGTCATAGGAAAAAAAAATAACGGTATATTAATATAGAAATCCCGTCCCGTTAATTCAAATCAGGTGTAAACTATAAAAAAAAACATAAAATTTCAATTAAAATTTTGCAGTTTAAAAGTGTTATAATTAAAAAAGACAACCTTTATTGGCATTGCAAGAATCAAAGATATTTTGGTATGGTATAAATAAGTTGACAACTGAATTTACGAAATTGTAAAAAAAAAAAAAAAAAAAATAGGCTTATCGTGATCGGTGTTGTCTGAAGTTGGGGAAATCTGGCACATGAAAAGTCTTCAAACGAAAATCAATTTCGTCACACCAAAACAACGTCCTTTAAAGATGTACCGATTTGCAAATTGGGAAATTTCAAAAATATATATATATATACCTGTTGTACCCGAAATGCGTTAATGTGGGATATCCCAAATGCGAACATGCGCTTGCCCCAAATGCGCATTTATCCCAAATGATCACTTGGATATCCCAAATGATCATTTCGGATAATGTCCCAAATGCTCACTTCGGATATCCCAAATGACCACTTCGGATATGCTCATTTCGAATATCCCAAATGACCACTACGGATATGAACATTTCGGATATTCCAAATGACCACTTCGGATAATATCCCAAATGCTCACTTCGGATATTATCCCAAATGCATTTCGGATATCCCAATGACTACTTCTGACATTCACGAATTGTAATTTCGGACAAATGACCTCTTCGAACCGTTTCAAATGACCAGAGACATATAGGAAATTAACATTATATGCCCAAAAGTTGAATTACTAATTAAGATGCCCTATATTGGTCATTTGGTTCATTCGAAATGGTTTTTTTGGAACATAAAATAGTCATATTGAGCATCCGAATTGATAATTTGGATCGAAGTGATTATTGGGTGAAGTGGTCATTTGGGAGTGAGCATTTGGGATATTATCCGAAGTGGTCATTTGGGATAATATCCGAAGTGAGCATTTGGGATAATTTCCGAAGTGGTCATTTGGGATATCCGAAATGATCATCAGACATGAATATGTCCCAAATGCGCATTCATCCCTGAAACGATCTTCACATTTGGGATATCCCAAATGCTTGGGATATCCGAAATGATCATTTCGGACATTAACGCATTTGGGCTACAACAGGTTCATTTAATTTTTTTTTGTAAATCATATTTCTTTCTAGGAATCACAAAAATGTTTGAAACATGAGAAATTCTTTATATTATAAAATGAAGCCTTGTTCAGGTTAATAGTGACTTCATTTGCCTCCCAGTGTTGTCATGGGAGACATGGACCGGACCGGACTGTCCGTGTCCGTGTCCGAGATTTTTTTATGTCCGGGACTTTTTGTCTGCATTAATTCATGATATTTAATATTGTCCGCGGACAAAGTCCCGACACCTTTATAATGAAATAAGGGATATACCGTAACTGTTGAAAATTTGACAAATGTGATGATCGAGATAAATTTGTAAATCAAGTTTGACGTCGATGCGAATCCCTTAAAAAAAAAAATAATAACCCTAAAGCGCTTATCAGCGAGAAATTGGTAAAAGGATGGTTTTTGGTGGTGAAAGGAAAGAAAAAAATCTTTTTTTATATGGGGTTAGTAAGGTGGAAGGCCAAAAAATGACATTTTTAACATTTTAGAAATTTTGACACCTACTCCATCTATACATGAAGTCGAAATGAAAACCCATAAAAGTCGAAACCGACAAAAAGACTTTTCAAAAAAAAAATAAAATCAAAATCAAAATCAAAATCAAAGTGTGCCCGCTTCTCATGAAACAATTACCATTCTATATCTCGCGACTAGACGAATCGCATCGAATGATAGTTGTTTCATGAGAAATGGTCAATATTGACCCGAGATCGTACCTTTTAGTTTTTTCTTTTTTTAAAATACACCATCCATTTAAGAAATACTTTGTAGATATTTTATAAAAAAAAAAAAAAAAATGGTTCCGATTAAATAAAGATTTACTAATATCAATATCATCAACAGTTCTAATATTCTGCATATTCGACTTTTCTAACATTCTTCCATTTTTTGTGTGAATCTTTCCAAAATGATTCCATTTATACCTAAACATAAACATTCAAGTGTCAATAATTCATCTTTTCCAAATTTAAAATAATTGAATGATCCATCTTGGATATTAATTCAGTATTTATATAAATAACTAAAGTTCATCTCGCAAAAAACACCACACCTACTTCGCAAATCATCTCATAAATTCGTACTTGTAAAAGAAAAACCAAAATTAAATCTACTATATTTCATAAACAATTGATTAAAAATAAATTAAAACATGTCCGAAAAAAAATTGGACTATCCTCACATATCGTTACCTATCCATAAAATGAAACCGCACTACGACGCGGTGGTTATTGGATCAGGCTACGGTGGTGGGATTGCTGCTTCACGCATGTCAAGAGCTGGTAAACGTGTTGCATTGTTAGAAAAAGGTAAGTTTCAACACTATATAAAAATGATTCTACCATTAACCGGTAAATAATACATAATGTAAATAAATAGGAAAGGAACGATGGCCCGGAGAATATCCAAATTCAACAACGAAATGGTTAAAAGAGATTCAATATAGCTCTCCAAAGACACACATTGGTAAAAAAACTGGAATGTACCATATCTATAATGGTAGTGATCAAGATGCTTTTGTGGCTTGCGGGTAATGATACTCTTCTTTTTTTTTAAAAAAAATATAAATTAACAGATCTAAAACTACTTCAATTTTTTTTGAATGCGTTTAGACTTGGAGGTACATCCCTTATTAATGGCAATGTAGCTCTTGAAGCCGATGATCGCGTCTGGCAAATGTCGGCTTGGCCTGATGAAATTCGCAAAGATTTGGATTCCATTAAAAGAGGTAAATTTGAATTTCATTTGATGCTGCGCCTCGTTCATGAATTCCTCTTTGACACGTGACTTTTCTTTTCTAAGGTTATGAAAGAGCTGGTGAAATGCTTGAACCATGTAAATATCCAACTCATTTTCCCGAATTGCCAAAACTTAAAACTTTGGAAGCTCAAGCGAAATTATTAGGAAACAATTATCACAAGAATTTTCGCAGAGTCCCAATTACTGTCACATTTGAAAATCGAGTTAATGCTGCGGGAGTACGTCAACGTGCCTCTACGTTGTCGGGAAATGATGGCACAGGAATTAATGATGGTAGTAAAAATAGCACTCTAATGAATTATATACCCGACGCATGGAACCATGGTTGCGAAATATTTTGTGAATGTGACGTAAAAAGAATTAAGAAATGCAAAAAAACGGGGAGATATATTATATTTTATGAATGGCTAGATGTAAGTAATTAAAATTAAAAATTAAAATGAACTTTATTATTTTTGAAAAAATCAATTTCTATCATTCTTTTTATTTCAAAGGATGAACGAACAAAATTTACGGATGACAGTAGTCATGGCCTGTTCTTTGTGATCGCTGACGTTGTGTTTCTTGCGGCTGGTACATTTGGCTCAAACGAAATCTTATTAAGATCAAAGTCTTATGGTTTAAAGATTAGCGATCTCTTGGGAAAAGGATTTAGTGGAAATGGAAACGTAAGTATATTAAAAAATACAAAAATTATATGTATATTTTTTCCTTTTACTTTTTTTTTTTTTTTAAAAAAAAAGATTCTAATCATTATCATGTTAGATCATTGGACTTGCTTATAACACTGATCATTTGGTTAATGGCGTTGGTGCGAAAAATGATAATTCAATCAACATGAAAGTTCCGGTTGGTCCATGTATTACAGGTATTATTGATATGCGTCAAGACGCGGAAAATGTACTCGAAGGTTATGTGATTGAAGAAGGGGTTATACCCGCACCTGCCAGGCAAGTTTTCCAATTCGTTCTTGAAGCAGGGAATGTTTTGACTGGCATCGAATCAAAGGGTCTTACCCATTCAGAATCTGTCCAAAAAAAATGGAGAGAAATCAAATCGATATTTGGAGGGGCTTACACAGGTGCCGTATCAAATACTCAAACCTATTTGGTCATGTCACATGATGATAATACGGGTCAAATAGAATTGGTGGACGATCGAGTGAAGATAGAATATAAAGGTGTAGGTACTTCCGATACCGTAAACAGAATAAATAAAATATTAGAAGAAGCTACTTTGAAGGCCAATGGAACTTATATCCCATCACCTTTATGGGCTAAGAAATTTGGGAGAGGTTTGATTACGGTTCATCCTATTGGAGGTTGTAACATGGGAAAAGATGGAAGAGATGGTGTTGTCAATCATAAGGGACAAGTATTCATTGGTGACGGTACTGATATTCATGAAGGTCTTTATGTGTGTGATGGTTCAATAATACCAACGGCCCTCGGAGTTAATCCGTTGTTTACGATTAGCGCTTTATCCGAAAGAATTTGTGAATATGCGGCAAAGGATCGCGGATGGAAGATCAACTATGGTCTTGTAACAAAACCAATTGATTTTAATAAGCCGATCGTATCTTATAAACAAAATGAACAAGATTTGATAAAATCAGAGAAACAACGTGAAGGTGGAATAGCTTTCACTGAAGTTATGAGGGGTTATTTCTCAACCGAAGTTCTATCAACGAATTATGTCGCAGCTGTGGGTAGGTGTACCAACATTTTATGAACCTTTTTAAATTTAAATTAATTTTTTTTAACAAATTTTAAAATACTTTTTAGAACAAGCGAAATCTGCGGATTCAGCGATGCATTTCTTATTAACGATAATCGCTTATAACACAAAAACGTTAGTCGATATGGATGATCATTCAGCTTTAATTACTGGCACGGTGTCTTGTCGTGCTTTATCACCCGATCCGTTGCTTGTCACTCGTGGCAAATTCCGCCTATTTATCCCAGAAACAGATCTCGTGGATTCAAATCGAGTGATGTATAATTTATATTTGACCGCCACGGATGGAACAAAATATCGACTCAAAGGGTATAAATTGCTTAGGAATGGTACAATAAAATCTGCATGGAAACAAACAACAAAATTATATGTTACAGTTTATCTTTGTGAAGTTGATGAAACTGAAGATTTGGACGAAATGAATGTTAGTCAAAAAGATGAAGAAGCTGACACAAGAAAAGTAGTTGGCAGAGGAATTCTGGAATTAAAACCTTTTGACTTTTTGAAAGAAATGACCACGCTTAGAGTAAGAATGATTTTTTACGTGTATAATATATATATATGAATATAAATGTATATTGTTAATTCCAACTTATTTTCACCAGGCAACCGGGCCGACAGCTGAATCAAGAAAAAAAGCCTTTTCCTCATTCAGAAATTTCTTTGTCAAAACATTGATAAAACGTACGTTCGTTAGATTTCTTCCATTGCAATACCCTCAAGCCTTTCCGGCCGCAGGACGATTTTATCATAAGAATAGGCCAAAGAAAGAAATAATCGAGGTTACCGCCGAAGATGGTGTTAAATGTTTGGTGCATAGATATCAAGGCGGAAGAAAAGGTCCTGTTCTTTTAGTTCATGGAGCTGGCATAACACATGAAATGTGGTCAACTAATTTGGTAAAACATAATTTCTTGGATTATCTTCTGGAAAATGGATATGATGTATTTTTGATTGACAATCGAATGTCGCCTACCAATCCAGCTTGTTATGAGCAACAATCTTTGGATGATATTAGATTGGATCAAGCCGCAGCGGTTAAAAAAATTCGTGAGATTACAGGCGTTGAAAAAATTGGTATAGTTGCCCATTGTATCGGATCGGTTACAACATTCATAGGTTTATTAGATGGAAAGATTGAAGGAGTTGGAAGCTTAATTGCTTCACAAGTTGCGATACATACTATACCTGGATATTGGGGTTATGCTAAAATACACTTACGAACGATTCCAATCTTTAGACACTTATTTCGTCAAAATTTATTTAATGTAAACACATCTCCGGATACCGGTTTATTCAACAAAATCATTAACCAAACATTACGCTTTTATCCTGTACCGAGAAATCAAATGTGTCGCAATGCTTTATGTCATAGAGTATCTTTATGTTATGGTTTATTATACCAACACGAAAACCTTAATCAAGAAATTCATGATCATCAAGACGAATTCTTTGGTACCGTAAATCTTACATTGATTAAACACCTTACTATGACGGCAAAAAAGAAATTGGTGGTAAATTATCAAGGTAAAAACGTATATGCAACGAAAGAAAATATTCGTAATAGATTAAATTTCCCAATTTGTTTCATTCATGGGGGAAAAAACGCGGTGTAAGTGTAATAATTTGTTTATGTGGTTTTCAGTTAAATGATTTACGTTAATATTTTATTATCTTCCCTTAACCACCATCATTTATTAGATTCGATGTCAAAGCCTCGAGAAAGAGTTATGATACCTTCCGATCAATAAATGGCGCAGACAATTATACATTTCATGTGATTAATAAGTATGGTCATATGGATGGTTGGTGGGGAACAAATGTTGATAAAGATGTTTTCCCTATAGCATTAAAACATTTAGAAGACACTCAACACTTATGGGGATACGCCGCTCAAGACAAGCAGAGAGGTTTTGAGGATTCTGATTAAATAATGTTAATTCAGTTTATTTTTATTTCGTTAATTGTATAAATATTAATAATTACATATATAGTATAGAGTACAATCACGCGTTTCCCGTACAACATTGGGCATGTCCGAAAAAAATTATTTATCCGAGAGTAACATTTTTATATGCAATCATTCGACATCATGTCTGTATTTAGAAAGGAAAAAGAAATCGCCAGCTGCGGTGGTACTTTAAGCAAATTAGGATTGGAAAAAAAACATTTAATTTACACTGCATTGTTAAAAGTACCAGTCTTGTTTTGATGATGAAAAGATCGTTTATTATTGATATAAATTTAGTAAAATCAACAAGCATGGCATATTAGAAAGTTAAATAAATAGAGCGTACTGCTTTTTTATATGTTCTAAGTCCAAATATGGCATCTATTTTATAGAACTTGACCAAAAGGTGATTTATATTTATATTTATATATATATATCTATCTATCTAAATATATTTTGATTATCGAATCTTTTCATCTTTTACAGTTGATGAATTATGTCTATTTAGATGACAATATGTGACTTATAAGGTATCGAACGTATATTAGTAGTAACCCCTTTATGCCCTTTTTAGCGGGATTCTTTCCTTTGAATCCGGGGTTTGCTGAATATGGTTCTTAATGACATAATTTTAAAACGAAAATCTTGGCGTTTGTGCTGTTCTGGTGATCGATCACATTATCACATTTTAAAGAGTTGCACGTCTTCCCTAATAATAATAAAATTATTATCTATTTACCGTTTCATAAAATATCCCTTACTATTCATTACTCAATAATGATTTATTAAAAGCTTATAGTTTGTATGAAATTAATTAGAGTAAGGTGATACGAATTTCTTTTATTCCCGCTTTGGTATAGTTCTTGTGTAATTTCGATTGTTGGTCCCGACAAATGGTCCGGAGCACCGTAATTGCCAAAAATTTCCAGGCAAATTTAAGCGTTATGAATCTATCTCGATCTTTAATGTCTTTCCTTGTTCTTAAAGAAGTGCGCATTATCGTGAAAATTCAATTAATAAGCCCGAAAATATTCTTGCTTTGACCTGAATGAATTCGATCCGCTATATCGACTTGCCCATTGCAATCCGAGGAAAGATTTACTCGGTGCATCCCAATATAAAATTTTTCCTTTTTTTGAATAAAGTAAGAGATGCTAACCGGTCCATACTGCTCATTTTAAACATTTTAAGCGATTTATTTAACACAAGAATAAGAAAATTGTTTATTGACTAATGAATAAATATGTAACCAAAAATAGTCTATATTTGAAGTATAAATTTATCGAGTGTTGATGCTTTGGCATATTAATTGAGAGTTTCTTATCTCTTTTTTGAATTTTTGTCGTTTTAAATCCTTCAATGAAAAACAAATTTAAAATTTTTTTCCTCTAATCATATCCTTTGTTAAAATTATTAATTATAAAAAAAAAAAACGATAAATATCTATTAAAAATCCCTTTTTAATAAAAAAAATATTTGCCAACAAAATAGATTATTTTTTATACAAAATGGTTAAAAAGTTTCCAGGAATATTTTCTTTAGCTTTCGTTTGTACACTTCTTGGGGTCGTAAGTCGTCTCGAGAGTGTTGAAGCCTACGCGTGTGACCCTACCACTTGTCAACCACCAAAATGTTTTTGCCCTACTACTAACCCTCCGGGTGGTTTGTCAGTGGACAAGACACCACAATTCTTCCTGTTAACATTTGGTAAGGACGATAATTTCTTTTTTTTCAACGAAATGTTAAACATAATGATGAATAAATCTTAATTAAAAATTCGCTTTCTTTTTTAGATGATTCGATTCAAGATCGTACCATACAGGGTAAATATACATCCCGCGTTTTCGTCACGTGATTTATCTATCTTAAATTATAATAATCATAATAAACCTTTCAAATTTTTCAGTTGTAAAGCAACTTCTTGGAAATAGATTAAATCCTAATGGGTAATTATTATCTATTCGATTTCTAAATCTAATAAATCTAAATAAATCCGTGCTAAATTACACCCTTTTATTTATTTATCATAGATGTCCAATTAAAACTACTTATTATGTCAGCACTCAATACACTGATTTTTCAATGGTAACTGAATGGTACGCAGCTGGACATGAGGTATATATTAATATATTTGTTTTATTTTATTTTTTTTTAATAAAAGAAAATGATTTTAATAAAATACATTTTATTTTAATAGGTTGCCGATCATACCATGACGCATCCACAAGATCCTTTTGATGGTAAAAAAAAAAAAAAAAATTTCCTCATTCGAGAACAATGATTAATAATTTTTTTTCGTTAAATAGATGAAATTATTGGAAACAAAAAAGCTCTCAATGCTTTTGCTGGTATTCCAAATGGCAAAATTTCAGGATGGAGGTCTCCTTTCCTTAATTGGCAACCAAAAACTTTTGACATCATTGCCGAACAAGGATTTCAATATGATTCCTCAACGACTGCCTTAATTGAAGACGCTACTTGGCCTTATACTATGGATAATGGTTTATATAATGATTGCTATAAAAATTTTTGCGATACAGTTAAACATCCCGGTTTATTTGAAATCCCGATGGCTGCTATACTTGGTAATTATTATGATGATGATTATGATTCTTATTCCAAGTAATTAATTCTTTTTTTTTGTCAATTCAACCTTGATTCTTAGATGATACGGGTGCACCACATTTAATGGATCCAATGCTTGACGGACCACCCGAAACGGTTCAGAAATGGTTACAAGACAATTTCATTCGTCATGGAAAACAAGGAAAAACTCCCTTCGGTTTATACCTTCACCCAGTTCAACTTTCCGCAATAGATGGTCGTCCAGATCCAAAACCAAGTATTAAAATGATTGAGGACTTTTTAGATTGGGCACTCACTCAACCAGATACTTGGTTTGTAACCAGTCAACAGTTGTTGGCATGGATGCAAAATCCGGTTCCAGCCGATCAACTTAAAGATTATGCACCTTTCTCATGCCAGGCTCCTAAAATTGGAAAAGAAATTTGCAATGGATTGGATGATGACGGAAACGGGACAATTGATGATGGTCTTAGAGAATCATGTAATTTCAACACTGAAGTATGGAGTACTTGTTACGGATGTCCTAGTGCTATCCCATCTCTTAGCAATCCTGTTCCAGAGGGTGGTAGCCGTGCCCGAGTTCCAACAACTTGTGATACGGTTTGGTGGGATCCCATTGGTAATCAATGTCTGTGTCAAAGTGATACATGCGCGTACACTGATTTAAGTAAAGCACCGGGTTTGGTTGGAAACAGCACTGGTGGTTCCGATAAAAAAGATAATGGTGGTAAATCAAACGGAGCTAATTCAATAACTGGTTGGGGTATTATGACCTTGATACCAGTCATATATACTCTAATTCAATGGACCCTTTAATTTAAAAAAAAAAAACTTATAATCAACAAAAATATATACCTTTAATTTAATAATTCTTGTAATACTTTTTTGTACTACTACTCATTGTATTTTATAGTAAATTTAGATTAAACAAAATATTCTTTTAATTTCAATAGTTTAAAAAGAATTAATTTTTTAAAAATGCGATAATAAATAATATTCACATTACATAATTAGAAAGATATCAGCTGTACTTTTTTTTACTATTAGTTACACAAAGCACTCAATTCGAAGATCGATAAATGGTCGAATGGGTCGAATGATGGCATATCAGGTCACGAGCTATCATAACATATCGGTCAGATATAATGAACCCGATATGGCAATGATAGCTCGTATTAAAAATCATACACCAATATGTTGGCAGATTTTTATATATAAACTAAACGACGTTTACGATGTTGGATGCTCTTGAGCTATCATATGGACATCCTCCTTTTCGTGTTAAGGATAATGTGGCTTGATATCATTAAAAATCTGAAAATTTAAAATACCTATCAGTAACCCGATTTACAGTATCATTGATCCGATATTTATAACGGCATATCAAAATCCCGATATGCCTATCGGTTACGTTTTATAATATTAAAAACATTTGAAAATAATAGTTGAACAATTTTAATTTTTATAATTGAATCTTTCTATTACAAACAAATAAATATAATACTTAATTAAGACATTGGGTGAACAATTTTATTATTTGTTTAAATTTTAAATTTTTAATGTGAATCTAGGAATTACAGACAAATATTCCTTTTATCGATTTTCATTATTCCAGCAACAAATCTGCCTAAGATATTGTGTACCGGTGTACCGGTATGACGCAATCCCGGTTTTATCTAAAAGATCAAGAAACTTAAATGGATTAAAATCAAAATTTAAATATATCAATCATAACAATCATAATCAAAAGTATCAATATGCTTATAGCTGAGTATATAGATATTCCAAAATAAATTTGCATAAAAGTTAAAATATTCCATCATCTAAAATTATGATCAATTTTTCTTAAAATATATTGTTTATTGGCGTAATAAATTAAAATATGTTGTGATTTGCATCAGATGTCAACTGCCGGCCTATTTTCATAATATCTGGGCAGCATTACTGATGATCATCTTTATCATTTCTATATTTAGTATCCCGTCGGAGTTATATGAATATAATTTCGTAGTATATTTTTTTCGAATTACGTGGGTGACTTAGATATCATGTGCAGTAATTACGTCATCTCTATACTTCTCCTGTGATTTAACTACGTCCTGTTCTATTTTCGCAGTGTTTTTATTTTTAGATTTGCTATTTTCGTAATAATGGTCACAGAGTGCTATTTTTTAACAATGAAGCCAGCAAATCTATGGGGTTAGATGGTGCGGATAGATCAATGAATAATTAATCCGTTAATTTTTTTCGGAAAGTTCTAGCAAAATATACGTATTACAAATTTTTGAATTACGATTAACCATGTTAAGAATAGGAAATGAGAGTCTTGAATCGAAATGTAATAGGGACTAGAGATAAAACAAAATTCCATTGAACGAATTATATGGATTACGAGAAGAAATAAGTTATTCTTTGATGTAATTTTCACGCGCAATAAGATCTATACTCCTGAAACAAAAAATGGAGATTGCTAACCCGAATAATCTTGATACATTATAATAAGAAAAAGGGGATAATTTTAACGTTACAATTAAAAGTTAACAGTCTTCATGGAAACTTTTAAATTAGTCTGCTTGGCCAAATTCGAAGACCCAAACCAAAAATTATTTGATGTTTTCGTCAAAAATACTACCTATGTCTATGAA